TCCGGGTGAGGGGGGTGCGTGAACTCCCCGCGTCAGCCCGCAGGACACCCCCGAACCCTCTCCAGACCCAGCTACCCGGCCCCAGCGGTCATCGGCCATCGGGGCCTGAAAGAAGTCCTCGTTCCCCAACCAACACTCGGCCCGCAGCCCCTGGCACCAGAGGCAGCAACTACTTCCGGGTCACGCAGGCCGCAGGAAGGAGGGGGTGGGCCCAAGACTGGGTCCCCACCGTGCAGTGGGTGCTGACCCACATGGACCAGGGGCCCTGTCCCCCCCACTGTTTCCTCCTTTCTTCTGCCCCACCCCACCCCACCCCACCCCTGCCTCCAACCCCTTCTTTCACCCTTTATTTCCTTCTGTTTCTGCTCCCCCCTACCCACTTCCCCTTTTAAAAAATTTATTTTTCCTTATTATTCCCTTTTCTCTTTGTGTCTTCCGTGCCCAGCTGAGTTCCACCGTATTTTACCCTTTCTTTTGGTTTCATTTCCCTTGTTTTAATTTTCTCTCTCTTTTTTTTTTACCCACTGTCTTTATTACAAATTTTTGTGCCCTTTTTTGGCCTGCTTTCCCTTGCTTCTACCCCCTCCGGCCTTCCTTTTATTATCTCCTACCAAAACAGCATCAACAACAAAACACCTCCCTGCCAGTGCGTAGATTCCTGACTTGGGCAATCCCGCAGGACAGAGTAGAACTGTCCCCGTGGGCTTCTGAGACTAACGCTTGACGGGGGTACATAGCCTAACCCTTCTCCCACATTCTCTCCTCCAAGGCTAGAAACAGGGAAGCAGAGATGGGAGTCGGCAAGGAAGAGAATTACAAAGTAAAAAGGGTAGTTATAGGACTTCCAAATGGAGAAGTCCGAGAGATTGCAAGGGGCAGAATATAATACGAATTTCCAAGGAGGTGCAGAATACGAGGAGGAGGAGGTTGGTGAGGAATGATGGAGGCGGGCCAGGATACTGGGTGGAGGTTGTGGGGGTGGCAACAGAAGTTGCTACTGTTATAGACACAGTCCTTGGAAAAGGGTGAGTTGGGAGTAAATGCATGCTAAGCAGGTGTGGGAGGCAGATCTAGAGCTATGTGTATTAACTCAGAGCGCCCCTCCTGTGGGTTTCCAAGACTGTAAGTGTAGTGCTATTTGTATGTGCGTATGGGTGTGCATGTGTATGGAGCCCTGGTGACGGAGGAAGTTACATACATGTTGGGCAGCTAACTGCAAAGTCAGCAGTTCGAAACCACTAGCAGCTCCAAGGAAGAAAGGTGACGCTGTCAACTCAAAGATTGACAGCCTCAGAACCCCACAGGGGGCAATGCTACTCTGTCCGATAGGGTCACTGTGCATCAGGACGGACTCACTGGCAGTGAGTGTGGAGTATACACGGATGTATATGATGACGAAGTAGGGAAGGGTTCACAGAGCAGACCAGCAGTCTCACATTCAACCATTCAGACGCATTTTGTGTCCATTCCTCCCCTGCAATCCCCTCAACGGTCTATCGCTTATCCCACTTTCTCCTGGGGTTTCCGGTTGGCGTTCCTCCTCGTTCCTAAGCGTTGTCGGAATGTTGTCCATGGTTAAATGCTGCCCTTTTGATCTTAAGTGGTTGATTCTTGTACCACAGGGGTGCGTTCAGCTCCAGGCCTGAAGGATGATCAAGGTCCACAGTCTTGGGGGGGTGGGGGAGGGGGTGGGAGGAGGGCTTAACCGTCTGCATCAGACCATTAAGCCTGGCCTCTTTTATAATTTTGAGTCTTGTCCCACATCTTTCTCTGACTCTCTCTAGAACCTGCTGCAGCGATCCTGTTCAGAGCAGTTGGTGATGGCAGCCAGCATTACCACCTAGTTCTAGTCTCGGGGTCAGGAGACTGATGCTTACGTGGTCTTGTTAGTCCACTGGACCAATTGTTTCCCTGTGTCTTTATAGATTTTCATCATTTTCTTTGCTCTAGACGAACAGAAACCAGTGGCTGCGCTGTAGACGGCTGTTCATATGCATTTAAGACCCTCGTTGCTACTCGCACAAGTAGGATGTAGAGTATTGTCTTTTTGAACTATGTGATGGCAACAGACCTGGTTGTCCCTCGGGACTGTGGTCCTGAGCTCCAGGGCCCTGTGAGTCACTCTCTTGAGTTTTGTTACATCTAAGATGTTTCCATAATTTTACCACCTGTATGCTCCTCAGGCAGAGTTAAAAAACACCAGCCCATTCATGGGAGAATACCAGGACTTGGGTCAGGCACATCTTAGTCTCAAAGTAACATGCTTGCTCTTCAATACTCTAAAGTAGTCATGGGCAGCAGACTAATGCCATACGCCTTTTTATCTCGGCTGCTGCTTCCATGAGCATTGCTTATGGATCCAAGTAAGACAAAATTCTTGTCCACGTCAGCCCTTTGTTCATCGATTGCGATGTTACCTACTGGTCCAGTTGGGAGGAATTTGGTCTTCCTTACATCAAATACATGTGAAAGTTGGGCGCTGAATAAGGAAGATCATAGAAGAATAGGTGCATTTGCGTTATGGTTCCGGGAACGACTGTTGATAGTATCATGGACTGCTAAAAGGACAAACTGATCTGTATTGGAAGAAGTAAGGCCAGGGTGCTCCTTAAAGGCCAGGATGGCAAGACTTCATCTTACATACTTCGGCTATATTGCCAGGAGAGACCAGTCCCTGGAGAAGGACATCATGTTTGGTAAAATGGAAGGGTGGCAAAAAAGGGAAGGCCTGTGATGAGACAGGTGGACACAATGGCTTCATCAGTGAGCTCAGGCACAGGAACCGTGGTGAGAACGGCGCAGGCCTGTGCAGTGTTGCCTTCTATTGTGCACAGGGTCGCTATGGGTCGGAGCCAACTCCATGGTACCTAACAACAACAACATGTCGCTGGGAGAAAGACAAAGCTTTCCACCCCTGTAAACATTTAGTGTCTCAGAAACCCACAGGAGCAGTTCTACCTTGTCCTATAGGGTCGCTATGAGTCAGAATCGACTCACTGGCAGTGGGAGTGAGATGCGCCACCTTATTTGTGGATATATTGCAGTAAAGACAACTACACAGCTATCCTCTGTCAAATCCTGGCCCTCCCATTATGTATGGTTGACACAGGATATATTGTACATAGGATACGGCCTTTACTGCAACTCTGCCTGTGGATGTGGTAGAGCATCAAGGAGTCAAAGTTATGAAAACTTTAGACATCACCACACACCTGGAGGAAATGAGTCCCTGGGGTGGGGGCCTAAGACCATAGTCTCATAGGACCCCTACGTGGATTGGCATCTCATCGTTTACAAAGTCTACATCCTACTTTGGTGAGTAGCACCTGGGCTCTTAAAAGCTCGTGAGTGGCCACACTTGTCTCCCCCCATCCAAAGCAATGAAGAGTGATGGAAATTAATAACCCATGGAAACAATTAGTCCATTGCACGAATGGACCACCCAGACCTCAGTCTCCACAACTCTTGAGACCAGAAGAACTAGATGGTGCCCGGCTGCCACTAGCAATTTCTTGGAAGGAGGAGGTTGCATTCCAAGGTCCTGGCTAGCCTGGGATAAAGCCGTGAAACGAAACTCCAAGTCATGAAGGAAACTTGGCTGTGGGTCAGATATAGACAGCCGGAACCCCTAAGACTGCTCACTGGTCATTCTTGACACCTGGAAGGGAATTCTCCCCTGTGGCCCCATTTTCAGCCAAAGGATAGGTAGGCCCAGGAAGGGAAGGATCAGACTATGTTGCCCTGTGTCGACCTTAGAGTAAACAATCATTTGAGTTGCAGAGGGCAGCATTTACCCAAGGACAAGTTTGGCAGGGTTAGGAGAACAGGAATCGTAGGGCAAGTAGAAGTAGGGCAAGTAACAGGTGGTAGGGATCGCTGACAGGGAGGCGAAACAAAAAGTGTCCGAATTGTGGAATGGGAAACGGACGACCTGCTCTGCAAACCCTCGCTCAGTTCACAATAAAAAGTTTGCAAAGAACAAACTCTTCAAGGGGCAGCTCAAGCAGGCAGAGATGGAAGACGGAAAGGTACCAAGCCAAAGGAGATTGAGAAGGAACCGGAAAAGCAGTTGATGAGAAAAGAGCGAGAGAGACTGCCTTCCCCTTCGAGTCTTTGTCCTGATTCCAGGTTTCCAGCCTCCTAACCTGTGAGAGACTAAATTTCTATTGGTGAAAGCCCCACCCTCTCAAAATACAATGCGGGCACCTGGGTTAGTGGGCTTCTGTGAGCCTAGGTTATATACAGAGAGGCCATATTAGTACCTCTGTCATATACTGATAGAGAGTCGCTGGGTGGCACCGATGGTCTTTCTTGGCTGCTAATCTAAAGATTGGTGGTTCCAACCCACCCAGCAGTGCTGCAGAGGCAAGGCCTGGCAATCTGCTTCTATAAAGATGACGGCCAAGAAAACCCTACGCAGCAGATCTGCTCGGCAACCTATGGTGCCGCCTTGGGCCAGGACCTAATCGATGGCAACGGGTGAGTTTTTTCCGGCTTCGACCCAGGCCAACGGTCTAGATTCAGAAGCAGACCGGCTTCCAAACAGTATTCAGGTCTAGAACAAAGATGTATCTTCATTAGCACAGCCTATCACGTGAATGCCCCCACCCCACCCCCCACCCCCGCC